ATCTCAATAAAGCCAGGTTGAAAAACTTTGAAGGATAATATGGGAATACATAAATTAATTAATTTTTTAAAAAGAGAAAAAAAAAAGTCCAACAAAAATAAAAGGAGAAAAGGAATAGGACAGAATTATGATACTATTACCTGCTAGTATGCGTTTTGAAAGTCTCAATGAAAAAGAGTTTTGTAAAAAACCAAAAAGATAAAATACATTGAAAATGACCCAAGAGCTAAAAGAAAACCCAGAGACTAATAACGAGACAAATGGGAAGAATTAGAAATTTTACTAATTGTTCTAAATTTTCAAACAACAGATAATATTCATTTCATGAACCTGGCTATAGCCTTAATTCTAAAAACATAATAAGAACAGATAAAAATTTAAACATAGAATATGCTTAGAAGTGGACTATACACTAATTCAAAATGAAAATCTAGTATATTTAACATAACAGGAAGTCAAATGACCCAGTAGGGTTTATCCCAAGAATGCAAGAATTACTTAGTATTATCAATGCAGTGGTTTTAAAGTACATCAATTAGTTAAGAAAGCAAAACTATATGAAAATTTGAATAGATGCTGAAAAAGATTCCTTTAACAGGATGTCCACTCTCTCTTACAATAACTACTGAACACTGTAGTGCAAGTTCTAGTCAATGTAATAAAACATGATATAAACAAAAACAGGCATAACTCTTAGAAAAGAGATTATTTGTAGATAATTATATACCTAGACAGATCCTAAGACTGAGATAACTATAAAATGTTTAAAATAAATAAGAGAATTCACTAAAGTATCTGGATAGCAAAATATAATGGGAAATAAATTCTATTTAGAATAGTATCACTGCAGGGGCGCCTGGGTGGCTCAGTTGGTTAAGTGGCTGACTTCAGCTCAGGTCATGATCTCGCGGTCTGTGAGTTCGAGCCCCGCATTGGGTTCTGTGCTGACAGCTCAGAGCCTGGAGCCTGCTTCGGATTCTGTGTCTCCCTCTCTCTCTGCTCCTGCCCTGCTTGTGCTCTATCTCTCTCTGTCTCTCAAAAATAAACAAATGTTAAAAAAAATTTTAGAATAGCATCACAGCAATAAAATAACCCTAAAAGTAATGTCTGGGCCCCAGAATAAATGAAAAACATGCCATGATTACTAATGGGAAGAATGATAACAAATGTGCTTATTCTTTCTATATGAAAGTTTTATTGCATATCAAAGCAAAATATCAATGGGATTTTTTTCTGGAAAACAACAGCCTAATTCTAACATGTATCTAGAAGAATAAACAGGTGAAAATATCTAAGAAAAGAAGCATATGTATGAGGAGGGTGAGGAAGAAGACTGGGCCTATCAGATATTAAAATATAAAGCTACAATAAGTGAAACACTAACATCTAAACAAAATTCATAGAAAAATCAAAAGAAATGAACAGATAGTTTTGAAATACACAGCTTACTATTTGATAAAGGAAACATTAAATCAATGGGAAAGGTATATATTACCAACAAATTACAGAGAAAGACTATTCTCCAATATTCATTTCTTACTGCATAAACTAAAACGTATTCCAGAAGAAATAAAGAATTAAATGTAAAATAATTACCACTCCAACAAGTAACTATGGATCTAGAAGGAAATATAATAGAATGTTTAACTGATTTCAAGACAGAATTAATTCTTGAAGTATGATTAAACAATTGAAAAAAATCCAAAGAAAAAAGACTGAGAGACATAATTACATACAAATGAAAAACCTGTATGTTAAACAATGTGAAATTGTTGAAAACTGATAGCCAAACAACTAATTGGGAAAACTCCCACAATAAGTACGAAAGTTAATCCTTATATAACCATATATGTAAGAGAGCTCTTACAGGTTAGAAAAATTCCACTTTAAATAGAAAAAGGACACTAAGAAGGAATTGGAAAGGAGTAAAATTTGTTACAAATACATGAAAAATATTAACTTTGTTACTAATAAAGAACTATAAATTAAAGAGATACCATGACCTGCCTCTCAAGCTAGGAAAGATTTAGAAATGTGATTAACACCTTGTGTTGGCCAAGTAGAATTTCTATAAGTATTCTTATACAGTGTTGGTAGGAGTAGAAATTAGTACTTAGTGAAAGGTGGTTTTGCAATATATATGACCTGAAGTAAGTTTTTATGCTTTGATGTAATAATTCTATTTCTAGAAATCTATCCTAGGGCATGATACTAAAAACAACTTAAATGTCCAATAATCACAGAACTTGGCACCATAAAAAATTATTTTTGAAAAATATCAAAATGGTTGAGGAAAATGCTCACAATATGATAAAGTTTTAAAAAATGTTTTATTTTAAAAAATAAATGTTATTAAATGTTTATTTATTTTGTTTTAAAAATGTTTATTTTTTTTAAATGTTTATTTATTTTGAGAGGCTGGGGGTAGGGGCAGAGGGCAAGAATCCCAAGCAGGCTCCATGCTCAGCAAGGAGCCTGACGCAGGGCTTGATCTCATGACTGTGAGATCATGACCTGCACCGAAATCAAGAACTGGATGCTTAACGGACTGAGCCACCCAGGCACCCCAATGATAAAGTCCTTTTTAAAAGATAACTTACTATGTACATATATATTACTGTGATTCCAGTTTTTTAAAACAAATCAAATGTATGTCTATCAAAAAAGAGAAAAATTACATAAACAAATGTTAAGAATAGTGTTATAAATACAGTAAAACCTTGGTTTGTGATCATAATTTGTTCTGGAAACATGCTTGCAATCCAAAGCACTCGTATATTAAAGCCAATTTCAAGAACCACTGGCTCATTTATCAAGTTAAAATTTATTATAAATGTTTGCTCATCTTGTGGAACACTCAAAGAACAAGTTACTTGGCAATCCAAGGCTTTACTGGTAGATTGTTTATTTTTCTATTGTATATTTTCTATAATAACCAGAGAAATGAAACATTATTTTTAAAAGATTATTCTAAGAAAAGCTAAGAACAACAAAAACCAAAGAATTGAGTAAAGATTCTATTTTCTCATAAAATTTGGTAGTAAAAGGCATAAAAAAGATAGACTGTAGCTTCAAAGGATGGTAACTGAGAAGTTTTGTTTAAAGGAAAGTAACAGGTGTGCTGATGGTAAAGGGTAAGTAGAAATACAAGATAAAGATGGGATAACTTTTTGAAGATCCTAGAGCAGTCAGAAAAGGTAGTAAGTAGAAGTACATATGGGGGAAAAAAGGCTTTTCTGAAACTGAAGGTGAGCAAGAAAAGATGGCTCAATACAGAAATTTTAAAGCGAGGGGCGCCTGGGTGGCTCAGTCGGTTAAGTGTCCGACTTTGGCTCAGGTCATGATCTCAGGGTTGGCAGGTTAGAGCCCGGCCTCAGACTCTGCTGACAACTCAAGAGCCTGGAGCCTGCTTCAGATTCTGTCTCTCTGTCAAAAATAAACAGATTTAAAAAAAAAAAGGAATTTTAAAGAGAGGAAGTTATAAGTCAGAGTTGTTTGATATGGGAAAGGAATGAATTATCTTTACTATGCATTCCTATAGAATAATGATGGCATGCGGTTGGCTTGATTCAAATTAGTTCCTTAATCGTCAGAATCACTGAATTTAATTTATGAGATGTGACTAATGTGTGTTAAAATGTGAATGTGTGGAGGAAGAAGAAAGGTTAGGAACTATTGTTCTACCAGACTTTTATATAAGAGGTCAAACATTTGAATTGAATCCTTAATGAGGTTAGAATAGAGATGATCATTTGACCATAAGGAAGGGCTTAAAAAACAAAGAAGCGGTTTATAATAATTACTCTGAGAAACAAGGTAAGAAGTAAACAAGGGATAAGAAATTTGCCGAACAGTAGAGAAGGTATTGATGAAGTTAAGGAGCATGAATCTACACTAACTCCTATATCACAATGGTTTGATCATTTTCTCTAGTAATATACCTCTGCCTAGGAGTAGAGAAAGTAGATGTTAAGAATGATTCCAATTGGAGAACTGATTGGAATTAATATATATATTGATTATCTACATACCTACATATATAAACTTAAATGGAAGAGTAGTTTTGAAAATGCCAGAAATGGTATTTTTATAGTTGACAATGTGCAAATTAGCTGGACAGGGCAAGTGAAATCAGAGGTTGGTGGCAGACTGACCGTGGAAACAGAAAAAGCAAAAAACTGGAAACATGAAAGTACAAAACAGCAGCTGACAAAGATGTGAGAGAGTGAGAAATGGATGTTAAGTAGGTTGTGGATTTGAGATCTCAGAAATACAGGCATTCTGAGTAATGGTAACATTCAAAGCATCGCTTTATTAATGTGTTTCTAGTTATACTGCCCCAAAGCACTTACCCATAAATTTTATTTTTTGAGTCTAGAAAAGAAAGTAGCACATATACATGTCAACCTTATAGGAATTCCAGTTAAGTGATATTCTGCAATTTCTAGCACTGGTTTCCCAGAAATCTTGTCCATATACATCACATATGCATCAAGAACCTAGATACCATTAAAATAATGATATAAGAGTTTTACATATCAAAACCTACATGTAAATGGGTACATAATCCAAGAGCTTAATCAGAAATCAGATTTACAGCAATATAATAAACTACATCCATCTTTGTTCCATTAATATTTTTAGTAATGTACTAGCTTGTATTCACCAGTCATTTCACTTGAGACCTCTGAGACTAATCAAAAAGGGTATACTTGGAATATCTACATACAGGAAAACCAAAGGACATTTTATAGTTTCAATTAGATTTCTGCAATCAAAAGAATTCTGAAATGCATACAAAAGGGTAAACAATTCCGAGATACCAAATACTTTAACATAGCCCTGAACTTTCTTCAAAAAGCTTATTACTGAAAGGTATAAATAAATGAAATGTAGTTCTTCTCAGAAAGTTAGAAATCAACAATACAGTATTATTCACACATAAAGAGAAATAGCTGACAGTTGCTAGTTATAAATTTGAAGGTTCTCCAACAACTTACCACTGTCTGGAATCCAAGTTCCTAAGTTCTCTCAGTAGTTTCTCATTTTTCTTCAGGAGATGAAAGCTCCTCCTAAACAGAGAGATTTATAAACATTTTCATCACCTTTGCAGTGAACAACATGACAGTCCCGGAAATACTTTCCACTCTACTCATGCAACTCTTAAACACTTTTCTTGCCTTTTCATACTTCTAACACAAAGGAGAACAGACCCTAAAAGAAATGTAAAGAATGTAGGTCATTATTTCTACTTAGGCCTTCACAGATTTCTGTTAGTGGATCATTATCTATTGGTCACTTCAATTTTTCCTTGCAGAAGCTTATAAAGCTCATATCCAGAAAAATGGACAAAAATATTTGTAGGTTCCTTAAGAGTTCCCTAAAAATATGTAAGAAAGCTGTTCCTAATGAGAAATAAAATACTCACAAAATCTAAATCATTACCAAGTAAGCATATGGATTACCAAGTAATCCAGATGGAATTTGCTTTGCTTTCTTGTTTTACCTTATGGGTATTTTTTACACTATGAAGCAATGTAGAAATTTCACCAAATAGGTTCTATAGGTGCTAAATATGTACAAATTATATTCATCAAATCAATGTTTGCTGTGGCAAAATATAGCTTCCCACCTTTAATTTTTTTATGAGACAGAATATGGACCATCCTATAGTAAAAGAGAATAGAGTGCACTCCTGTGAGTGGCAATTACCTACGTTTGGACATACCATCAGACAAATTGTGTTCCTGACAAAATGCCTTTCCCATAAGGTAGAGGATACTCCCTTCTAATAAACGGAAGGATTTAAATTAAGTAAGATTATAAACACTGGTCAATCAAGTAGAACTCCATTTCAATGCTTCACCTGCATTTAAATTACTCTTAAGATTTATTCATCCAGTGATACTTGAGCTCCCCTCTTACTGCAAATTGAACAAAAACAATACATTAAACAATGCTGCTTCTTCCACTTCCCTACAGCTTTTAGTATCAGAAATTTTAAAAATCAAATGTACAGTAATGCTTTACACTAGTGTACAATTTTGGCATTTTATATACATTATCTAATTTAATTCTCATATTCATGTGAGATGAGAGTTATTTCCTCAACTTATAGTCTGAAGCTTAAAGATTAAATGACCTAACCTGGTTCTTCTGATTTAAATCTAACGCCTTTTCATTTAACTCTTACATGAATACTTTGAGTTTATTCCAAGTTTTTAACATGGTTTTTTACAATATATGTAAGAAAACAAAATTTAAAAAAATGAAATAAAGATTCTTTTCTTGATTTGATGCTAAATCTTGAGTTAATTTCTCTGATACAAACAAGAAAAGATCATACTGCTGTCACTCTAAAAAACCTGTTAGGCTGATGTGACATAAAAAGAAATATGTATTTCGGCTCCGCTCCCAGTTCCTAACACAGAGCTCCTAAAACTCTCGTAATTTCCTGAGTGACGAAGGTGACAGGAACATCTTACATAGAGTGCCTAAATCCCTTCCAATTCCTTGGTAACAGAAACATCTTTGTTCTGATGAGGTGATGCTTGGTGGGCTCCTAGAAAACTTCAGGATAGGGCTTGGACATCAGAAAGCACAAACCATGATTAGGAGCTTGGAACTTCAGAGGCGGCTCAGTTGGTTAAGCATCCGACTCCTGGTTTCGGCTCAGGTCGTATCTCACGATTTGTGAGTTCGAGCCCCGCATCGGGCTCTGTGCTGCTGGTACAAAGCCTGCTTGGGATTCTCTCTCTCCCTCTCTCTGCCCTTCCCCTGCTAGCACTCTGTCTCTCTCAAAATAAATAAATAAGCTTAAAAAAAATAAAAATAAAAAGAAGCTTGGAACTTTCAGCCTCCCTATGGGGAAGGGAGAATGGTAATAATTAATCATACCTATATGAAGAGGTCTCCGTAACAATCCCTACACTATGAGGTTCAAAGAGCTTCCCGGTTAGTCAACTCAATTCAATGTGCTGGAAGGGTGGCAGACCCCAACTCCACAGGAACAGAAGCTCCTGCAACTTGGGATCCTTTCAGACTTCACCCTACATGCCTCTTCATCTCTATGTTCATCTGTACCTTTAACTAACCTTTATAATAAACCCCTAAATAGAAGTATATGTTTAATGAGTCATTATAGTGAATTATCATTATAGGTGGTTATCTGATTTGTAGCTAGTTGGTTTTAAGTATGGACTTGCAACTTTTGTCTGAAGTGGGAGGCAGAACTTGTGGGTCTGAGCCCTTAATCTGTTTGTGCTGACTCCAGTCAGTGCTGGAACTGCCTGGTGTGGAAAACCCACGTTTGGTGTCAGAAGCGTTATAAGAAAAAATAGTTTTTACTATCAGTTTACAAGAAGGTTGGAAAAATAAGATTTCTTTCAATTATATGAGCTATAATTTCTTTTTCTTTTATTTTTATTTTTTATAATTTCTAAGTCATAGTTCTACTACTCATTATGAAAATGTTAATAGTTAATTTATTGAGTTTTATTCTTATTCCCTTGAATCCTGATCTGACATCTGTCCAGTGGCCAAACAACTAATTGGCAGATAAAATTTAGTGAGGAAAAGAACAGAGACTAAAATGCTTGATCAAAAGATGAATAAGATTAATGTTAAAAAAATTCTTTTATTCTTACCTTTTGTCCCAGGAGTTCATTCCCAATATGCTAAGAAGCAATCTGCAATAATAAAATGCTGACTGAGGCTTTTGAGGTGTTGGTTCATCTTGCTCCACAGCTTTCATGTTTAAGTCATTAAAGTGTTTCTCAACAAATTCTTTTTCCTCTGTATGCTGCTTAAGGATAGCATTAATAACATCATTTTCCTGTTTTTCAGAAATGCACACAGGTTGTGGAGCAGGAATATTAAGTGAAATTCCAGTTCTCTGTAAGCATTCAGGACTAGTTATACCTAAATATTGCAAAAGCTCATCAAGAACATCTTCTTCATCTCTTATGGTATCCCAAGTTGGTACAGTTTCTCTAAATCCTCTTTTAAACTGGAGGGAAACCCCATCATTTACTGTTATATCTTCTAAGCATTCATTAGATGTAGGAGGCTCTTCGGCCTTCTCTTGACGAGATGATGAAAGTATGAGGGATGTAGGTTCTGACAAGCCACTCACAGGAGGTGGTCCATACAGGATGGCAGAATCCCAGGAATATTTTCCAGAGAGATCACGTACTATGATTCTGACATTTGCATTGGCTGATGCAAGGCCAGCTGATAAACCTCCTCCAGGTATACTCTCTTCTGATCTGATCTGGATACAGGACACTAAGGTTGTATTGTTCAACACAAAGAACTGGATATTTGGACTCTCAAAGAGTTCAGGAGAAAGTTCAGTACTTTCACTGTAATGATTGTCATGATTTTCACACACCTGACTTGTTAACATAGCAGGACCACCACTCATTGGATAATGGCCCAAGTGATTTACCAGATGTGTAATAACAGTGCGGGCGGCTATAGAGATTAATCCTTGTTGCATCTGAGTTTTCACTAGAAATAAGAAATATAAGTGAGTGGGGATACTGCTGCTTCCTAGGTAGGAAGTCATGTAACAATGAAATTTTTAGAAAACAAATGGAGATTTCATCACATTATCAAAATCATATTCAAATATTAGAGTAAATATTTTCAATTTAGATTCTGTTTTATAAGAATAATGGCAAAGAAGAAAACTCTTGATGAAGTTTTGTTAATTTTTTTAAAAAGCCCTTTTCAAAGTTTTGCTTATGGATTCACAATTTAAACTTAAGCCTTTATAAAGAAATCACACTTTCTTTTTTTTAAAGCTTTATTTATTTATTTAGAGAGAGAGAGCGCGTGAGCAGAGGAGGGGCAGAGAGAGGGCAAGAAGAATCCCAAGCAAGCTCCGCGCTATCAGTGCAAAGCCCAATGCCAGGCTCAAACTCACGAACTGTGAGATCATGACCTGAGCCGAAATCAAGAACTGGACGGTTAACCTACTGAGCCATCCAGGCACCCCTGTAAATCATACTTGCAAAGAAGGATCACAAGTCTTATAAATCACTTAAAATCACTCAGTACACAGATTAAAAAGCCAATGAAATCCAACTGATAAATTTCTTATCTCATGAGTAGATTCAGAGAAACTGCATGCCTTAACATGGCATTTAATTACGGTTTTTATCAATGATGTAAAAGTTTCAGAGAAAATAATCTTTTACTAAACTTTAGGAGTCAGGATCAATTTAAACAGTGAATCAACGTAACCAGTATATACCATGAAAACTTTCAGGGAAATCATATTTTATGGGCCCGCTTATGTATTGTATTTTTGTAAGATATTCTTTTGGGTCATTGTGGTCCCAGTTAGTTGGATGTCAGAAGCATTTTTTCCCCTTCCTTACGCACATTAGGGAAAACAAATAGATAAAGAGCATATCCATAGCAAGGAGTAAAAAAAGAAAACAAAGAATACAGCAGTCAAGGGCATGAAATGGCAGGACCTGAAGGAGGAGGAAGAGTGGGGGGAGAAGGAAGACAGAAAACAGAATAAAGGGAGGGAGGAAGGAAGAAGTGGAGAGAGACAATAACTTGGCAAAGCCCACTAGCCAAACACTGCCGGTGTGACTGCAAGCAGGTTGATGTGGAAGCCAATTCTAAAATGAGTGGTGTCGGGAAGTTGGGGACAGTCTTGATACTTTTCATCTACGAGGCAGGGGAAGAGTTGTCATTGGTAAGGAAGCACTCATCATTTATGTTAGAAGAGGATGTTTAGTTGTGTGTTGGTATGTGTGTGTACATACAGTGTTGTCTTAGTTATAGACATGATTACAGAATGATTGTGTCTCTATATTGTTCTACCATAGTCATAGAGTGATCTTGTCTGAACACTGTTTATATTCTGAAAGTTAATCATTTGGAAACACTATGGCCTATCTGCCAGAATAAATCTAGATTTGAGAATGTCCCGATGATCAAAGTACTATCTACATAAATTCCTTAGTTTTAAGTGTACTTTGTGATGCATTTTGGCAACTGTACAGAGTTGTGTAACCACCAACATAATATGTAGTAAAATTCCGACATAAAAAACTAAATTATATTTTATGTACATTATATCTCAATAAACTCCACTTTAAAAAAAAGTTTATTGTTGAAAGTGCTGCTATAAACATTGGGTACAAGTCCCCCTATGCATCAGCACTCCTGTATCCCTTGGCCTAAATGTCCATCAACTGATGAATGGATAAAGAAATTGTGGTTTATATACACAATGGAATACTACTTGGCAATGAGAAAGAATGAAATATGGCCTTTTGTAGCAATGTGGATGGAACTGAAGTGTTATGCTAAGTGAAATAAGTCATACAGAGAAAGACAGATACCATATGTTTCACTCTTATGTGGATCCTGAGAAACTTAACAGAAGACCACGGGGGAAGGGAAGGAAAAAAAAAAAAAAGTTAGAGAGGGAGAGAGCCAACCCATAAGAGACTCTTAAAAACTGAGAACAAACTGAGGGTTGATGGGGAGTGGGAGGGAGAAGAGGGTGGGTGATGGGTATTGAGGAGGGCACCTGTTGGGAGGAGCACTGGGTGTTGTATGGAAACCAATCTGACAATAAATTTCATATTAAAAAAAAGTTTGTAAGGACATTAGCTTGTGCACTGCTCATGTGATGCTTAAAAAGAAGCAAGAGAAAAGAATAGTGTTATATTTTCAAGGCCATAGCCCTCACTGACTACAAGCAGAGATCAGCAAGAAACCAGCTGCTATGCCATTAATAGCAAAAACATCTTTTTCCATTATTCCAACTCTAAAAGAGAACTTTGGTTGACTTTGAAATGTTGGAGTATCAAAATTTTAATCTTCTTCCATTATCAATCATGTTTTATGACCACATACATGTATATATATGAATATTTTTCAGTTTACTTAAAAAGTTCCAATTATATTGAGTTGTTCTTCAATTATAAATACGCCTAGTTCTGAAAATCAGCTATTCAACACTAGATAACACTAAATGATTAACCTTAATTCAATCCTACGTTTTTTCAAGACCATATGCAGGTCAAGTAAAAAGATATGTCATTGGATGAAAGAACAGAGAAGTGGCTTGAATGTAGTGTCTGCTTTCCCTTCCCCTCATTAAAACTTAGAATGCAATGAAAGTTCATGCTGTTGGGGACCTTATAGACAATTTAGCCAGTACTCATCATTTTGAACGTGAGGACAAGTGGGTACACAAGAGCTAAGGGATTGGTCTACCAAACAACAGGGCTGGTCTTTGCTTCCCAGTTCAGTGTTAGTTCCATCTTTACCACAACTCTAATTTCCGTATTTTTATCTTTTGTTAAAATGCCCTTTTCGGGGCGCCTGAGTCAGTTAAGGGTCTTGAGTCTTGAATTTGGCTCAGGTCATGATCTCATGGTTTGTGAGTTTGAGCCTCATGTCGGGCTCCGACTGACAGCCACGAGCTTGCTTGGGATTTCCTCTCTCTGCCTCTCCCCACTAGTGTTCTCGATTGCTCTCAAAATAAATAAACATTTTTAAAAAATGCCCTTTTCTTTTAGCAAATCACTGTGACATATGGAAACAATTCAACTTTTTTTCCCTGTGTATAGTAACTTCAAGATAGTATTATTTAGCATACCTTAGTATCTATAAAGGCCAGATCAATTGAAAAGCTCATCTAACTAAGACCTAATCACATTTTAAATGGTAATAAAAGGGGTGTCTGGGTGGCTAAATTGTTTGAATGTCCGACTTCAGCTCAGGTCATAGTCTTGCGGTTTGTGAGTTTGAGCCCCGTGTTGGGCTCTGTGCTGACAGTCTCGAGCCTGGAGCCTGCTCTGATTCTGTGTATTCCTCTCTCTCTGCCCCTCCCCTGCTTGTACTCTCTCCCTCTCAAAAATAAACAAACAGAAAAATTGTAATAAAAAATTGTAATTAAAGATATTACAAATTTTTTGATGTATGAAAAGAATTTTCTGTTCTTTCTTTGTCCTCCTCCTTTTGAGTGATAAACTTAAATATATGACTTGTTCTAAGCAATGAATCTTTTTTGTAGAACATTTTTGAGAAGTGAAAGAATATAATTTAATAGAAACATCACAAAACAGAGAAAAATTCCTGACTTCGCCTCTGGCTTGATCTGTGATCTTAGAGAAATCACATGAAACACCTCAAACACCACTTTTCTTTAAGAATAATACAGATTTTTTTTATAAAGATGAATTGAAAACTTGTATACAAAGTTGAATATAACAGAAGCAATATAAATCATTCAATTTTGAGAGCATTATAAGTATCACAGGTTTTATGAATTCCTTTTTCAAACTTACTTATAAATAAACTGCAAGAATAAGCCAGCTCTCCCCAAAACAAAACCCTAGTCCTAGGTTCCTGTCCATCCTATACATCCTCTTCTCAAAGGATGAGACAGTGGGAATGCAGTTCAAATGAACTCATTTACGAATCTGTCATAATTACTAACACTAAGAATACTTACAAACTATATTTAGATTTTAGATGTAGGTAACAGCATTTTCTTTCCTAAACTGCTTGCCTAAATTCAGGATATATATAAATATGGAAGGATAAAAATCTCTCAATTTGTTAATTGGACAATTTTATTTAAAATTTTGAGTTATGAACTATGGAACATATGTATCTCTCCTCAAAATCAATTTAGATATAAAGAAAACATATGAAATTCTCTAATTTAGATATTCAAAATGAAATTCTAAATAACTAGCCTTGTGAGAAAATGTAACATGAAGATATCGATGCTTCTAAGGCTTTGTGTAACTAACATTCATTTAAATAAGTCTATTCAGGGTTGTCTTTTCAGATTGTCAGATTAAACAAACCCTACAGCATTTGCAGCAAACCCATAATTACAGATTATTACAGCATACAAAAGCAGCAAGACATAAAAAGCTGCTGCAATTCATTGCACTCTAATAGAACATGCAGAGGAAGTTAATTTTGGCAAATGCTTTAAATATTAGCTTTGCATAATATGTATAGGTGAAACTGTAATTAGGACAAAATGAATCCTTTGGAGCCTCCTTTCACTCTGACCCTGCAAATGATGACTTTTTGCTAATAAGACTACTGCTGTTTGACAAAAAGCCAACTTTACAACCTTGCTTTATTATTTAGTAAATTTAATAATTACACCTACTCCTGCCAATAGTCCTCAAATCAGACTCGTTCAATCTAATACTGAGCTTATTAGGGACACTCTATGTTTAGAAGTCTTTGGCCAAAAAAGTGCTTGAAGATGATGAAACATGCCTTAGACAAGGGCACAATGATTAGTCACTTTGCCATATTAAAAAAAAAAAAAAAACGAACACAGCATGTTGTCACTATAGACCACAGGATCACCTGCTGTTGGCTTACAGCTGTTCCTAAAAGGTTCTGCATTAATCTGGTCCTTTATACCTTTAAGAAAGTCCAAAGGGAACAACTTAGCACATTTAGAGAACAATACTCCACAGAGTATTTGGTATCAATATAAAACTCATCTATTTAAATCTTTACCTTTGTGTCTTTTACTGTAACTGTTAATGGTACAGTAAATTTTGTCTGAAATACATTAAAAACTCCCTTTACATAAGTAAAGTACTTATTTCACTGTTTAACAAGTGTGCTATACTGCCCTCAGGCTTCATGATTTTACCCTTTTGAGAATAATGCAAAAAGTAACTAATCTTTTCAGATAATTTTGCTTTTAAGTAAAATAAACAGTTTTACTATACCAAATCTAAAGAATTAAATATATAAAGTTGTCTATATATCAATTATGGTCTAAATTATTTTTCTATACTATGCTTCCTAGTATATCTCTACTATATCTGAGCTTCAATTTAAATCTTATATTCTTATTTCAGTTCTGTATACAGCTGACCCTTGAAAAATATGGGGGTTAGGGCACTGACCCCTCCATGCAGTGAAAAATCCACATTTTAACTTTTTACTTCTCCCAAATTTAACTGCAAATAGCCTATTGTTCACAAAAAGCCTTACCAACAACATAAGCAGTTGATTAACACACATTTTGAATGTTTTTTTTTGTATTGTATACTGTATTCTTATAATAAAGCTAAAGAAAAGAAAATCATAAAGAAGAAAAAATATATTTATAGTAAAAAAAAAAAAACAACTCCATGTGTCAGTGGACCTGCACAGTTCAAACCCATACTGGTCAAGGGTCAACTGTATTTGTGTTCTAGAGAAACTATTAGCAATTTGTGACCAATCCCAAACCCTAGCCCTATTTCTTTGATGTGTAACTTCATATCTTTATTTGCATTCTATGTCACCAATCCATCATCACGGCCACATCTTAGATGTCTGGAACATTTATAACTATTACACCTTTAAAAATGAAACTCGTCCAGGGCACCTGAGTAGCCCAGTCGGTTCAGTGTCCAACTCTTGGTTTCGGTTCAGGTCATGATTTCACAGTCTGGGACACTGAGCCCCACGTTGGGCTCTGTGCTGACAGTGTGGAGCCTGCTTGGGATTCTCTCTCTTCCCTCTTTGTCCCTACACAATTTGCATACTTTTTCTCTCTCAAAATAAATACACTTAAAAAAAAATTTAAAATTAAATAAAAATCAAACTCTCACTTAATAGCTTACTCTTTGACCACAATCTCTCATCTAGTAATTTTCCCATTCTGTTTTGTAGAGCCCTTGGAGAGGGCTGTTAGGAGATGGACAGAATAGAGTTCAGTAGGATCCAAGGCCTCCACCCTGCTGCAGCTCTGCTTTTATCAGTTTTACAAAGTGGGCTTCCTTGTGAAATTTATTTGCAGAGGTTCCACTGCTTAAAAACTCATTTTAAAAACTACTGTCCTAACATACTGATGCTCTCAGTGATTCTCAACCTCGGCTGCATATTAACCACCCGCAAAGCCTTAAAAAATCCTAGCAATCCCAAATCAATATATCAAAATCTCTATGGATGGGAACAGAGCAGCAGTATTTCAATGTGCAACCAAGGCACTGTTCTAACTTACTACCAACATTTACTTTCTGATTCAATGAATCACTCCATTTTCTTCCAACTTATTAGCCATTTCCTAGCATCAGTTCAACCCTCACCAAGCCTTGATTCCATGGCTAAACCATATACCAACATTCTGAAAACCACAGTTCCCAGGTATTCTGCCACATCCACCTTACTGAATGCTGACTGGTGCAACTAAAACTTTGTAGTTTCCATTTTCTGTTGGACTCTCAATAACATCTGCTAACCCCCTTAATCTACTTCCATCTTCTTTTTCTTTCTGGGTCAGAATAAGGACTAATATTAGCATCTATACTTTCTAGCTCACTCTTCAGGAGCTTCACCCTACTAATGATCCCCTTCCCATCTTCCTTCTCAGTTTATAGAAGTTCAAGTCTCTTCATCCTTAGAAATCCTTTACCTCTGCTGAGAATTATTTTTTAGCTTACTTACTGTCTTATCATTTATCTTTCTTTTTTATACAGTCCAGCTTCTTTAAAGAGTACTTTTGACAAATGGCTCTATTTCTTTAACTCCTCTTTGCTCTTCAACCCACAGCCATCCACTTCTCCCTCCTACTTCTCTGCTGAAACTAAAGCAGACATATTTTTCAGTCTTTCTGCATCTGGCCTATCATTTAATACCATTACCCAATCTTTTAAATATCTTTCTCCTGTTTTTGTTTCTGAGAAATTATTCTCTCCCAGTTTTCCTTCCTTTCCAACTTTTCTTCTTCTCAGAATACACACATACGTGCGCGTGTGTGTGTGCAGACAAATACAGATTCCTAACAAAGACCTTTCTGCTACGATTGAGATCTGCATATACAACAAACTGCCCACTGGCAGTCTTCATATGACTATCCGACCTTCATCCCAAACTACACCATTTGCAATATTGCACCTCCTCATTCTCCTTCCCAAACCTCTAGCCTTTCTCATATTCTTGGTCTACTTTGGGAGAGATCTAACCAATTTAGGCCTTTAGCAATTCTTGGTAGGCCTATTGCAAGCTTCATGATTGGTTTCTCTGATCCTGGTTTAACTTTCTTAAAATCAATCTTTACCAGAGATCAGCAAACTTCTTCTGTAAGGGGCAGATAGTAAATATTTTCAGCTTTCTGGACCACATGATCTCGTTTGCAACTATTCAACACTACTGTTGTTGCACAAAAGCCGACACAATGATACATAAATGAAAGCATGGATGTGTCCCAATAAAACTTTATTTACAGAAACAGGTGGCAGGCATGGGCCATAATCTGCCAACTCCATAAAACACTGCTTTCAAACTGCTCTCAGTACTAATTTTCTCATGTATATAACCTTCTTAAAACCCTTCAATAATTTGCTGGGTTCCTCTAAACTACCTCTGTGTCTTAAATGTACTTTTATTTTTATACTCTTATTTAAAGGTTATTTATTTACATCTTTCTCTTATATCTGAAAGTAAACTCTCTGAATGTAGAAACAATGTGGCTTAAAAAAAACGTTACTGAGTTCACTACCTACCAAGAACTGTACAAAGGGTTTTACACATATTATCTTATTCAGGACTCAAAACAACCACGAGGGAATAAATATTATCAGCCCTATTTTATAGATAAGGAAACAGACATAGCCACTGAGCTAGTAAATGAGAGTCAAAATTCAATACCACATCTTTTAGACTCCAAAGCTAAATCTCTTATTCCATTATAGAAATCCTATGATGTATAAAGTAAAGTATCAAAAAAACCTTACCAGAATAACTTCACTAGAAGTATAAAGGGAGTGTCATCACATATAATCTTAGTAACTGTGTTTCTGAAGTTATTTTTTAAACTAAAAATGAACTTTGCTAGAATATACATGGTGAAATACAGAACTACAAAGTAAGATATACTCATCTCCATTATTTTTACTTATGGCCTCAAATCATACTTTGAGAGAATCCAAGAAATAATACTGTCCTAAAGTGAATTCCTTTTACCTTCTGTCACTGGCTGAAGTTTAGAAGATCGTTCCGAATCTGGAGAGTGAAGAGGTTCAGGCTCTTTCAGACTTTCCAAATGCATAAAAGGGTCATAATCTACAGATGCCAAGTCAGAGAGGCTCATTGGAAAATACCTTGGATTGCTAAAACACTGAGCTCCATAAACACACCCATGTAATACCTGGAAGTACGAGGGAAAACAGTTTTCCTTTTCAGTGAAGATAAATAAATAAAGATAAATGGAGAAAAATGACAACTGGTAATACAAGAGCTTGAAAAATTTTTTAAATATTTTAAAACTCAGTTCTTCAATCAAGGTAAAATTTAATGCCTTTTAAAAACAAGAATGAGTAAATTTAACTAATGATTCTCACATTCCATAAGGATTTGACTCCTTTCAAAAATCTGCAGTAAAGCAGAAGCATCTTGTAGGAAGAAGTTTTAATTACTCTTAGGTACTATAAGATAAATCTATGTTCTTAGAAAATATATAGCTCTAAAAACAAAAATGTAATACCAAGAAATGTTATTTCTTTAGGTTTTAAAAACTGTGGTTACCAAATAAACAATAAAGCAAATAAGGTTACCTTATAAATGCAATTGAGGACAGATTTTTCTATTTTATCATTTTCTGCTCCTGTAGCATGGACTGGTTGGAGCAGTGTCTTTAGAGGTAAGGCCATGATCCAGTCCAGGAGGCACAGAAGTAAGGATACAACCAACTGTAACAACAACAAAAGAGATGATTATGACTGTAAACTCACAAAATAAGAGCTTTAATACATTTAACAGAAATTCACCAACTTATTTTTTGTCTTCCAAAATGTATTTCAGGAATAAAATCAACCCTAATTCTACTATGAATATTTACTTAGATCTGATTTTAAGATATTGCATATGAACATTATGGTGGGTTTCTTCCTCATATTTTAAAGCCAGCACAATGGAACTTTAAGTGTAATAAATAGGACGGCAAAAATTATTTAAAATTCCTATAAAACGCTGAGCCTAAAACAGAACAGACATCAATTAGCTTGACTTATTTAAAACTGTTCAAGGAATAGATCACAAATGAAAGGTTGAGTTCACATATATCAAAAATATTTCTACATTCCTTTTAAAGAACAAAAAGAACCAATAAAACATCAAAAAACTGACATCCTCAATATAACCAAAAAACAGAACATCCAGACTTCAAATTATCTGTGAGTAGAAACTATCAGCAAATCCCAGCAAGCTTTTCCTCATTATCCCATTACAAACTTTCATGAAGAGCAAGGGCAGTTTGGGAAAAATTGTAAAAGAGAAGCAAGAACTAGGTATAAAGCTAAAAACCAAGCCAGAAAGAAAAAGTTACCCTAAGTATGAGAATATTGAATAAGTGTACTGGTAGATACGGAGTAGAAAAAAGGACTTAAAAGTACACACAGGAAAGGTAATGCTTTGGAGAAGAAGAATGTTAAGAAGGAATAGGGAGACATCCTGTGGCAAACATGTAGTAAAAAGAAAAAGCAGAATTTAGGATCCTGCAAGACAAACAAATTTTAAAAATTGATGGGCTTATAATTTCTCTCCTCCTTAAAAAGCATCATCCAATAAACTGATGGATCTACAATTCCTCCCCTTAAAAAGACAATAAAGACACTAAACTTTGTTGAATCACCAGATGAGGGAGCTCTTGAAGTAGGAATCTTATAAACCACCCCAAGCCACCAGTCCTGTTCACAGAAATGCAGAAGCAGCCTTCATCTTATAAAACTATTATAAAAAGAAAACAAAAAATGAGAATCTAAACAGTTCAACTGATGAAACTCCTACTCAAAAAACCCAATTATGAAGAAGAAAACTATAACGCAACATTCTAATCTAAATTACATATTATCAAACAGCATTTAAAAAAATATATATTTATTATCAAGTTAGCTAACATACAGTATATACAGTATGCTCTTGATTCGGGAATAGATTCCCGATTCATTATTTACATACAACACCCATGTTCATTCCAACAAGTAAAAGCATTTAGATATGGAGGACAAAGAAAACCCCATCTTAAATCAGAAATTAAAAACTAAGAATAGAATTCTTAGAATTTAGAAATTAAAAACTAAGAACTAAGAAAGGAAGAATTGTTTCATGTCAAGAAAAGAAGTAAAATGACAAAATCATATTAGAAATGAAGCCTAGATTACAGGATGCCTAAAGAAGAATAAATTTGAAAAAAACAAAAACAAAATTTAATATGGGGCTTTGAAGAATAGTGGGAAAACAATTAAAAGAATAAAAATGAGATTTAAAATAAGATAAAAAGTGTCAGAGAAAAAATGTTTGAGATAAAGAGAGAAAAAGAATATCCAATTTACTTATTTGGAGTCTCTGTGTATATACATGTTAAAAAGGTTCACCAGAAGCCAGGACAAACTGACCTGCAATAATCAACTCTAACACATATCCTGGTAAAACTTTAAAAGTAAGACTTCAAACATAAAGAAAAAAGATATCCTTAGGGCCTCCTGGAAAAAAAGATGCAATAATTTAGAAGGGCAAGAGAATAAAACAGGCTTCAGACTTCTCAAAAACAATACACAAAGCAAGGCAACATTTAAAAAAAACAAAAAACTTCAAGGAAAGTAAATGTGAACCTAAGGATTCTATATCTAGCAAAGATGTTTCTCAAGTATCAGGGTTACAAAAAAAGTTTTAAATATACCAGCCCTCAGGGAATTCTGTATTTATGGGCCTGTCCTGAAGAATAAAGATGACCTTCATCTAACCAAATAGTTGACTGAGGAACTTCAGCAAAAAAAATGGTATTTGATACACGTAGTTACAAAAGCTAAGACTAAAAAAATAAAGGTAGAGATGAGCATGGAAGAATCATTTATTATTGACTTATCCTATGTGTTATATGTAGAAATAAAGTAACTAAAAATGGAGGCAAAGAGAGAAGAAAAGTAAAATAAGCTCATTTATTAACGTATATGCGATGAGATAAAGGATACCATTAAATAATCACAAACCACACAAAAAAAGTGTTTTAAAAAATAAAAGGTTAAGAAAGCAAGGAAATAAAAGTATTTTTAAAAGGCATACATAGAAATGTAACCACAAGAACAAAGTATAAAATTCCCTGAATACCAAAAGGAACTTAAAAATAGAACAAAGGAAATATATCTTGTAGACAAAGAAACACAGACGCAAATTAGAATTCAAACCAAAAAGCACTCATGTTAAAAGCTACAACTCAAACGAAATGAAGACTTATGGGTATCTATGTATCAAATAACACAGTGACTATCTTTATAAAGCAAAAACTACAATAGATGCAAAGAAATATAAAAACATTTAGCAAACTTTAACACACCACTCAGTATAAGACAGATCAAGTGGACAAAATACAGGCATACTTATTTTATTGTGCCTCACTTTACTGTACTTCACAGGTACTGTGTACTTTACAAATTGAAGGTTTGTGGCAACCCTGTCTTAAGCAAGTGTTTAAGCACCATTTTCTGACAGCATTTGTTCACTTTGTGTCTCTGTGTCACATACTGGTAATTCTCGCAATATTTCTAACTTTTCCATTTTTATTGTTATTATATTTATTATGGTGATCTGTGACCTCTGATGTTATTACTGTAATTGTTTTGGGGTGCTACAAACTGTGTCCATGTAAGTTAGCAAACTTAATCAGTAAACATTGTGTGTGTTCTGACTGCTCCATTAACCAGCTATTCCCCATCCTTTCTCCTCAGGCCGCCCTATTCCCTGAAACACAACAATACTCAAATTAGGCCAATTAATAATCTACAATGGCCTCTAGTGTTCAAGTGAAAGAGTCACGTGACTCTCACTTTAATCAAAAGCTAGAAATTAAATTTAGTGAGGAAGGCATGTCTAAAGTCAAGACAAGCTGAAAGCTAGGCTTCTTGTGCCAAACAGCCTAGATGTGAATACAAAGGAAAAGTTTTTGAAGGAAATTAAAAGTGCTACTCTAGTGAACACATAAATGATAAGAAAGCAAAACAGCTGTGTTTGCCAATACAGAGAAAGTTTTATGGTTTGGATGGAGGATCAAACCAGCTGCAAAATTCCTTACATCAAAGCCTAACCCAGAGCAAGGCTCTCTCTTAAATTCTATGAAAGCTGAAGGAGGTAAGGAAGCTACAGAAAAGAAGTCTAAAGCTAGCAGACATTGGTTCATGAAGTTTAAGGAAAGAAATCATCTACATAACATAACAGTGCAAGATGAGGCAGGAAATGGTGATACAGAGGCTGCAGCAAGTTATCCAGAAGATGCAGCCAAGAAAACTAATGAAAGTAGCTACACTAAACAACAGATTTTCAATGTAGACAAAACAGCCTTCTATTTGAAGAAGATGCACCTAGGACTTTCATGGCTAGAGGGAAGTCAATGTCTGGCTTCAAAGCTTCAAAGGACAGGCTGCCTCTTTTGGTGGGGGCTAATGCAGCTAGTGTCTTTAAGTTGAAGCCAGTGTTCATTTACCATTCCAAAAATCCTCGGGCCCTTAAGAATTATGCTAACTCTATTCTGCCTGTACTCTATACATGGAACAGCAAAGCCCGGATAACATCACATCTGTTTACAACATGGTTTACTGAATATTTTAAGTCCAAGAGCTCTGATGGAGACGCACAATGAGGTTAATGTTGTTTTCATGCCTGCTAACACAACATCCATTCTGCAGCCCCTGGATCAAGGAGAAATTTTGACTTTCGGGTCTTATTATATAAGAAAGACATTTCATAAGGTTATAGCTGCCATGGATAGTGATTCATCTGAAGGATCTGGGTAAACCAAATTGAAAACCTTCTGGAAAGGATTCGCCATTCTGGATGCCATTAAGAACATTCATGATTAGGGGTGCCTGGTGGCTCAGTCCATTAAGCATCTGACTTTGGCTCAGGTCATGATCTCACAGTTTGTGAGTTCAGGTCCTGTGTCGGGCTCTGTGATGACAGCACAGAGCCTGGAGCCTGCTTCAGATTCTGTGTCTCCCTCTCTCTCTGCCCCTGCCCCACTTGCCCTCTGTCTCTTTCTTCTCTCTCAAAAATAAATGAACATTAAAAAAAATTAAAAAAAAAAAGAACATTCACGATTCATGGGAAGTGGTCAAAATATCAACATTAACAGGAGTATGGAAGAAGTGACTTCAAATTTCATGGATGACTTTGAGAGGTTGAAGATTTCTGTGGAGGAGATAACTGCAGTATTGGTAGAAATAGCAAGAGAACTAGAATTAGAAGTGAGGTCTATAGATGTTGACTGGACTACTACAATGTCATGATCAATATTTAATGAATAAGGAGTTGCTTCTCATGAATAAGGAAAGAAAGTGGTTTCTTGAGATGAAATCTTTTCCTGGTGAAGATGTTGTGAAGATGTGAAATTACAACAAAAGATTTAGAATATTACATAAACATACATAGTTGATAAAATGGCAACATCGTTTCAAAGGACTGATTCCAATTTTGAAAGAAATTCTACTGTGGGTAAAGTGCTATCAAACAGGATCGTATGCTAGAGAAATTGTGGGGGGAAAAAAGTCAATCAATGTGGCAAACTTCCTGTTTTATGTTAAGAAATTGCCACAGCTGCCCCAACCTGGAGCAATCACCATGATCAGCCACCAGTGCTAAGGCAAGACCCTCCACCAGTAAAAAAGATTACAATTTATTGAAAGCTCAGATGATGGTTAGC